CGTCTCCCAGCCATGGATGCCACAGACGTGCCCCTCCAGGCCGAGATGGTGGAGCTGGTGCCCAATGGGAAGCACTCAGCCGCGCTCACCGCCTCCGCCATCCCCTCGCTGGCGGGTGACAGGTAGGGGTCCTGGGACAAGCGGGTGTGCCGGGGGCTTTGGGGGTCCTCCTGGCTGCTGCTGGGCATGCTATGGGGGGCCAGGGCTCTGCTTCAGCCTCACCCTGCTCCCTCCCTGGCCAGGTTTGAGGAGAATCAGTCTGGCACAGCAGAGATGGAGGAGTTCCTGCCCCACGGCGCCGAGAAGAAGCAGACGCACTTCACCGATGTGAGTATTGGCACGGGCAGTATGGGGGGCCGGAGGGGAGCGGCTGGTGCCCAGTGCATCCCCTCCCCGTCATGTCTCGTGTGCAGTTCGAAGGGAAGACTTCTTTTGGGATGTCTGTCTTCAACCTGAGCAACGCCATCATGGGCAGCGGCATCCTGGGGCTGGCCTACGCCATGGCCAACACCGGCATCATCCTCTTCCTGTAAGTGCCGTGCACCCACGGGGACTCGGGCTGGGGGCTCCGGGAGGGAGCTCCTCCAAGGGGATGGGTGGGTGCTGGGGTTGCAGGTGAGAAAGGGGTGCCCAGCTCAGAGTGACACAGAGACCGGTCCCCTGCTGCCTGAGCAATGCCTGTCCCTGGCATGAGCTCTGTGCCCCACTGAGGAGGAGGATGATGAAGGCTTGACTTCCTTAATACACCACTAGATTTTCCCACATGGCCCGAAGGAGGCGGGTGCTGGCTCCCTTTGGGCGTGGGGACACAGACCCACAGCCTCCCACCCGTGGCCCCTCCGCCCCATCAGTGCCCAGCTGATGACAGGGCGAGGGGCTGGGTGGTCTGCCAGGACGTCTACCTGCAGGCAGAGCCTGCCCGTGCGGGGTTTGCCCTACGGCTGTGTCCGAGCCCAGTGCTGTGACCCACTGGTGACAGAGCTGTCCTCCCGCAGCTTCCTCCTGACAGCAGTGGCCCTGCTCTCCAGCTACTCCATCCACCTGCTGCTCAAGTCCTCTGGCATCGTGGGTGAGTGCCACGTCCACGGTGGGTCTGCGCCCGGGGGGTTTCCCCTCCTGACCCTCACCCTGCCACCGCTCCCTGTCCCGCAGGCATCCGTGCCTACGAGCAGCTGGGCTACCGAGCCTTCGGCACGCCGGGGAAGCTGGCTGCGGCCATTGCCATCACGCTGCAGAACATCGGAGGTGAGGGCAGGGCTTGGGGGGCGCCTGGTAGTGCTGGGGGGAGGACATGGGACGGCCGGCGCAGCATGACCTTGCTCTGCCCCACAGCCATGTCCAGCTACCTGTACATTGTTAAATCCGAAGTGCCTCTCGTCATCCAGACCTTCCTCAACCTGGAGGAGAAGACCACGTGAGTGCCCCTGCCCACGCTCCCTGCGTGCCTTCCCAGGCAGGCGCAGGCCTCGGGCTCCAGCTGTGCAGCCCATGGCAGGGATTTAGGGCCATTAAGCCACTACTATTTTTGATAACCATCAGTGCTGAATAAGCCCTCGGGTGGGATTAAACCCGGCTGAACTTCCAATCCCTGCTCCTCACATCCCCTTGGGATCAGGCTTTCCTCCTTGAGCAGTCCCTGGGGCTGCGGGGAGGGGACGGGGGCTCTGGTTGGGAATGCGTCCCTCCTTGCTCCGTGCCTGCATCCCTACGCAGCAGCATGGGGGGGTGAGATCTGGGCAGATGCTGGGCACTGGGACTTCCACCAGCCTGGGACTGGGTGTCCCAGCCAGGCCGGACTCTGTCTGCTCTGGGGTCCTTGACTGCATGTGGGGCAGGGGCTGGGCAAGGGTGCTGCCCCATGGGTGGCTGGGGGCGGCTCCCTCCACTCAGGGTATTGAGGACCAGGCTGAGCACCCTTGCAGGTGCTGGTACCCTCGTCCCGGCATCCTCCCACTGCCAGGCTGCCCGCTGGCACACAGCAGCTCTAGCCCTTGGGGGTGCCCCACTGTGGGAGGGCAGGACCCCAGCTCCATGATCCCCAGGG